AATATATGACGACACCCGTCAATTGTTTCGAACTCGGGCTAGCCAATCGGAGCGCAGTTGTCACAGTAATGATATGGCAGAATAGTTTTCAAACAAATTAAATGACATTTCGTCTCTATTTCTGGTTATATACTCGATGTTTCAGACACAAATAAAAATTATGTATTCTCTAAAGAATGTTAACTGCTGTTAGTGTTTCTCCGACCATCGTTCACATCAACTGCATTGAACTTTGAAGTTGAACTCTCATTACGACTGCACGCATTACTTGCAGACATGCAGTTCATCTGTTGGAAGCCTAATAAAGCAATGTAAAAACATATTATCGAATCATTGACACATTTAATAAACCAGTCTTCACACGCGAAACTAATGTATTAAAAGTTTCCGGTATAAAACCTACCTATACCTAAAAAAACAATGTAAATGAACCCCAGCAATTTATAATGCGGTATAGCATCACGTTGCCCTGCCTTTTGTGATAAAAATAATTTTAAGGACTGTAAGAATAGTTTCCGAAAGCATAGATCCACCATAACGGCCGTTTGTAATTATAAACATAAAATTTTAATTTATTATGCTGATTTTGCTGTTACCTTAGCCGGACACGTGCAAAGCTTATGACCTTAAATTCTTCGTTTAAAACTGTATAAAATTGAGGTGTGAGGTGTCGCAAATAGTTGATTGGAATGTCACGTCTTGATACATATAGAGCAAAAATTTATACAGGTAGATTATTATGATCATGAACTTAACATAATTACTAATATAGAATCACAAAAAGAAAGAGTGGAGCTTTCGATTCCACAACGTAGCATACTCGGGGGTATGGCAGTGCCACTCAGAGCTTTAAATCGCAATGATCTAAGAGGACTGCCACTGCGCTCGTATACATGAGACATAAATGATTGTGCCTGTAATTTCACCAGAATTTTGCCTTTAGTGGAGTTGTTTGTCTACTTTTAAATAGCATTATCTTAGTTTTTACTGTAAATTAATTTCTAAATCAAATAGCAAAAAAATTATAACCAACCTAATATTTTACGTCATTGACTTACAATTATATGGACGTCGGGTCCGCGCTAAAAAGTGTCCGAACTTATAGGGCGTTAAAATCGTATACAGAGCGTCATTCACGCTCTAGTCTTCGTTTGTTCGACTAAAACAAGCAAAATTAGACAGTACTGCGATGACATTACAATTTAAATTCAACGTTTTAGCTTTTTCATATTTCTTGACATGTCACTACGTTTAAATAGGTTGACTTGGGACATTTTCTTCGTGGTTTTTGTATTAGACCCGTCGTCCATTTATTTGTAAGTCAATGTTTTACATAGACTATTGTAAAGCTGTTCCCGTAATTATTCACTATTTAGAGACGGAAATACAATTTATATTCGTCAACATAACCTTACCTATTTCTGCCGCCTAGCAGTAATGTCAGCATTACTGTGTTCCGGATTTGAAGGGCAAGGGCGCTGGTGAAATTACAGGCAAGTGGGACTTGTCAACTTATGTCTAGGGTGACGGGCGCAGTGGTAGTTCCCCTCAGATCTTTGCAATTTGAAGCTCGTGTAGCTTACCATCAGACGCACGACTTGTTCGTCCAGACACTTGATGTCGTAAAAAAAAGTCTTTTATTAGCTTATTATAAATCTGTCGCATCAGTAGGTACATTTGATATTACGTGAACTAAATGTACACCAAATCCATATGTAGGTACTGAAATTCCTTTTTTGGCGGTCAGATGTCGCTCAATGTTAAGAAACTAACAAATTGACAGTTGTAGATACCAGTTCGTTACATACTAATTAGTCATTAAAGTTTCTTTTAGATATGATTTTATTTCCAGACGTAAATAGGCCGCTATTATAATTTGAAAAGCCTAATGAATTTATTTTATTCAAACTTGTAATTAAGACATTTGAAGACGTTAACGAATTCTTTTAACTGTGATTTTGCCATTTTTTTTGCGTAACATTCAGAAAACCCCGAAAACCCACAAATTTTCATTCAAAGACCAGTACAGAGTACTAAAAAACCGACCTTAAATATTTGTGGAATTACATCTATTCGTTAAGTTTTATAGAAATCGGGCAACGGAAAGTGCACGAAACCGGATTCATCCCATAGTTTGCCACCCGTAGAGGCGGAATATTTTCTTCAAATTTAAATGGGAACAATACGGAAGTACCTACCCTTTTTCCAACAAAAAGAAGCATCATCGAAATCGGTTCACAAGCCGGAGTTATCGTGATAACATATATATAAAAAAAAGTCGAATTGAGAATCTCCTCCTTTTTGAAGTCGGTTAAAAACAAAAAGGAAACATTATATTTCAACCAAAAGTAAACTATATTCTTTTTTCTACTTTTTCTAAAGCCTAGGGAAACCCCTGAATTGCGGGTACCATGGACTCTCATATGTAGAGACAACCACAAATTACACCTCAACTCACGGGAAAAATAATGTAGACTATACAAATATATCTCTGGCATGGCAGATCAGTATGGTAACCGTTCGGACACGGAGGCAGTTACATGAACCTAGATATGAGTAGATTTTAGAGAAAATATAAATATCATTATGTAAGTGGGAATGTGAGTATCACTATGATGTGACATTACAAAACCAGTTTCATGGGTAAACGTACTCTTTTGTACATAAATCGCTGCTCCATTAAAAAGAAACCAACACTGTCGAATCAGAAACTGGATTTTTGAAAATTTGTTACACAGTGAAAAAATAATAAATAATTTGTTATTTAAAAATCAAGAACTTAATTGAAATTACCTAATATAGCCGAAGGAACCGTTTTGTCATTTGTGTAAAAATAATGTCATTGGCAAAATTTGTCAACATTTTTCTAATGAGAGGAGGTTGTAACCAATGTGATGTTGTATTAGAGTGGTTACACACGGCGGTTTATAGCAGCGACTGCTAACGCGTTCGTGAAACGCGCTACACTTGAGATTTATAGACGATTGCATTTATGGAAACGCGCGACTGCATCGATACAAACGCGCGATTTGATTGATGCAAACGCGCGACTGCATCTATGCAATCGCTTATAAATCACAAGTGTTAACTCAAAGTTAAAGCCGCGCGTGTGTGTAAAGGTAGACGATTAGCTACTGCATCGCTGCAAAAGTCGCCGTGTGTAACCGCTCTTAGGTCGGTTTTATAAAGCTGTAACTGTAGCGTGGTAGATACAGTAACGAGGTTCTAGTGTGTACACGTGAAACAGTCTTCACTCGCTAGAATGAGGACCAGGTTATCGTCCGCTCACTAAGAACCGCACACGTTCCTATCGCGGCAATCTCGCGAATCATGTATCATACTCACGTATGAGTTTTGGTAACATAGCATGCAACGGTTATGGTTACAACTCGCTGGTGAGTCCGCTGCTTTCCACCACTCGTTGCATGTCGCATGAGTACCGGGTACTTTTTACATCCAAGTGAAACCAAAGCAGAGTTCGCAAAAAAGTTTATACAAAACAAATAACGTCACAAAACCAAAGAATTCTAATTAAACAAAAATGAAATATTCATTTTAAAAAGAGCTATGTTACAATTTAATTTAATTACAATAGAAATAGTATTTTTATTTTAATATCTATTGGTTCCTCGGTAATTTTCAGGTTAGTTTTCTGTATATATTAGTTTAGTAGAAGTAGCGCTCCTTGTAAAAGAGTTCCTCCAGGGAAGTACTGCCACCTTACCTATTTCTGCCGCCAAGCAGTAATGTGAGCATTACTGCGTTGCGGTTTAGAAGGATGAGAGTGCTGGTGAAATTACAGGAACGTGGGACTTGTCAACTTATATATCAGGTTGACGGGCGCAGTGATAGTGCCCATAAATTTGCGATTTAAAGCTCTGAATGGCACTGCAACTGTTATGGATAGGCCTGTCACTTACCACCAGGTGCACGACTTGTTCGTCCCGTCACTTGATACTATTTAAAAAAAGTCTTAAACTAGGGAATTCCCTGTAGTATAAGAAGAAGACCAAAATGGGAGGGCCCAATGCGGGTTGAGAACTGCACCCATATCATTAAATTCCTGTGCGGATGTGTGCAGGTATCCTCACGATATTTTCCTTCCCCGAAAAGCTGATAGTAAATTTCATATATAAATTCAGAAAATTCAAGAGGTGCAAGCCCGGATTCGAAACCACGACCCTCTGCATGAGAAGCCGTAAGTTGTTCGTCGTCATTTGGTATTATAAAAAAAAACCTAATTTCGGTGGCAATTTTTATTATTTCAGTATTCGAGTGAATTATTGGGAAATAATATTTCAGGTTACTTCAGTCGAATATTAAATAATACTTCATAATAATATTCTACAGTGTTAAATAATACAAATTGCCACCGAAATTACGTAAAGAAAACTAACCTGGAAATCATCCACTTACGTGTATATCTTAAAATACATTTTTTACATACCTTACATTCTGTTATGAAATTCTGAGAATGCCACTCTTTGCGATTGCCATCCGTTATGTTTTTTTAAATTTTTATCTATTGTGACATTTTATTTATAGCATGAGAATCAGGTATTGGATATTCACAATACAAACATTTCATATAAAAATAAGACATTCCTTGTTTTCCACCCTAATCCAACCGTGAAATCCAATGTCATTTTATTCCACTACGCAAATTAATGGATTTGCTTAGTGGATGAAAGTGGAACAAGTGAATTTCTGTAAACTTAGTCGAGTTCAAAGTCAATAATAAAAACCGCAATATAAATAAAAACCATTGTAAACCAGCGTCAAAACCCATTCTCGGCAGTGGCTTTAGTTGAATGAGATCAATTTGTATTCGCCACAGTCGCACACATGTCAGTATAGTATTAAGTTACACAGTAAAATTTGTTGTTTAGTTTAAATGTTAGGTTATTAGGTTAGGTGCTATTTATTTTATTTTATTTTTGTTTTAATTACTAATACAAAGATCGAACACTCAGAAAAAAATCCGTCGATCCGGCCGGGATTCGAACCGATGTCTTCTAGGACACCGTGCCAGACGCTACACCAACTGAGCCAAGGAAATGAACCAGCGGAACTCACGAATTTTTCTATGTGCTTGTTGTCGTGTCTTTGTATTTGGTTTTTCAACGACTCTCGTAGCGACATCTATGAAAAATCTATGAAAGTTTTATCACCCACTTAGATACAGCTACCGGCTCTGGCGAAAGATGTCATCATGTTATTTTTCTTTCTTATAATGTGGCGTTGCAATAAATGGTTTCTATGTCTATTTATATTTCACTTTAAAATTTTAGGGTGTAATATTCTGACGGATCCAAGAATTATATTCGTACACCTTCGTATAAACACCAGGCACATTCTCCATTCCACATGGAGTTGGTCCAAAGCTGACAATTCCGATAACTTCAGTGATATTGTCTTTGCCAGGGTTATCCCACATGAGAGGACCCCCTGAGTCTCCTCTGCAGGAATCTTTACCTTCCTGACCACCAGCGCACATTTGACCTTGCCAAAGGCTAACTTTGCGACGGCTGATGGAGTATGCAGGTTGACATACCTGTAAATTATAGGTTAATACTTAAGATGAAAATGTCGCTAAAGAGTGAAAACATTACAAGTCTAATCTTTGGAGGATTTTTTGGAAACAATACCCCGGAATGCTCATTTTGATCTCACTCATCGTGTACATGTGTTTTTTGGACGCATTATGTAGTGGTAGTCTAATCGATTGATTTACCGCCCTTTAAGCAGAGGTCTTGGGTTCAAATCTGAGTTTATCGGAATTTACTTTGAAAATTACCATGAGCTATTCGGTGAAGGAAAACATCGTGGTGAAACATCGTCCGGGTGGAGACCCGCGACCGGAAGTTGGACGTATAAATGGGTTGATGAAAAAGATATGCTTTCATTAATATATAAATTCACAAAAATGTAAGTACCCTACAGGCGTATGATGAAACCACTCATGGGCACTATTTTAGAACATTCAGACCGGAACCAATTTTTAAAGTACCCAATTTCATCTGTCAGGAACCGGACCCGGAACTTCTAATGTGATATATGTAGTGTTTGATTACCGTAGATACATTGGAGATATCCAATAGAACTTACAGAATGTGACACAAAAGGTAGATCCACATCCAACTTCACGTTACTTTGGCTATGTGTGGAATTGATAGCGCCCCACCCGGCCGCAATCAGCTGCCAGCCGGAAGGCGGTGATAAAGTCAGATCGGATGTTGGTAGGCAGATTGGGTGAATAAAATCTGAAATTAGGATATTTTCTAAGATTCCGGAGAATATGTTAAGATTACCACTTCCTAAGTTTAAAACTCACATTAAAAGTATTTTAATTGAAAAGTCATGTTACAAAATTGAAGAGTATGTTTTAGATAAAGAAGTATGGAAAGACAACAAGAGTCTAGATTCCACACAATTAAGATTCAAAGTGTATTTCATAGAATTTAAGTTTATTTGAAAAAACCAATCCATAGAGTTTCTTGCTCGTTCTTCTCAGGGTTGTCACCGTAGTGAACGAGCAGTAGCTTAAAAAATGACGTTTTCAAGTGTAACAATTTTACCTATGGAATAAATGATTATTTGACTTTGACAAGAAATGTCGCTTTATGAATTTTAATACTGATTTTTTGAGTCTTATGATGCTTGTCTCCCAAGAAATTAATATGTTTCATGAGAAATTACTTCACTAGTTTGTTATAAGTTATAACTATTAACACAAAGAAAAATTCTTTCAAACTGACAGGACTCGACCTGCGTCTGTACGCTAATTCAGTCTAACCGCTCGACCTTACGATTTTCTCTATGCATTTGTTACAAAATTTTGATTTTGGTTTTAACGGCTATTTTGCCGTAGGCCATAGATTTCTCACAGGTGGTTTTGCCGCCACCCGTGAGAAATCATCAATAATAATAAATCAATAAAAAAATAATAACAATCAACCAAATCTAATTTGGATAGCCAATAGCGCGGGCTTATTTCAATTTTATCGCGCGCGTCGCGACTGTCATGCGTAGCCGCATGGCTAAGATATCTGCCCCCGTAGCATTACGGGGGCAGATATCTTCACGGCTATATATAAAGTTGACAAGAAATGTTGCTTTATGAATTGTGATATTGATTTATTGAATATTATAATGCTTTACTACAATGATATTCATTTATTTTCTTTGAAATTACTCCACTAGTTTGTTATAATTATTAATACAAAGTTATAATTAATTCTTAATAATTGTAAGAAACTGTTTTTAATGATTAAATATCCCTCGTTTTGATATTAAACTATAGCCTAAAAACTTTCTTCTCATTGAAAACAGCCACACTGAAACGTGTAAAAGGTATTATGGATAAAATATAATAATATTATGGTTAGGTATAACTTACCGGAATAAGGCGCCGGTTTAGTCAGCCTGAGCAAAGCAATATCATGTCGCCTGGTCTTCGTATCATAAGGATTGTAGTTCGGATGCGCAGTGATCTTTTCAATTGGTATGGAGATAGCGCCGTCGGTGCAGTCTATACCGCCTCCGCTAACAGTTACGCAGTCTTTCTGATTGATGTCGTTTGTGGTGTCGTATTCGCCTAGACGTACGCTACGTCTGGAATGGGGTAGATATAGAGTTTATTACAATATTCCAAAAATTAGTTATACACAACAACGAATAAAGAAAACATCATCAAATAGAATACAAATTCAAAAGGAATAATCGAGCTGGCCACTTAACGGCTGAATTTCGTGAAATTATGCGATCGGGAAATTTGGTTTGCAATAAATTCATTGTTTCGGTGGCTGTGCGACTTGTGGCACCGTCTTGTTGAAACCACATGTTAGTGATATCCATATCATCAATAATAGGCCAAAATTGAGTTGTTAACATCTCTCGATAGCGTAATCCATTGACCGTAACCGCAATTCCAGCTGAATTTTCGGAAAAAAACAGCCCAATGGCAAAAGCACAAGCACACAGCCACCGAAATAATGTAAAAATGAGACGATGCATGTGACATACCATGAGATTCGGGCATCTTTAGGCGTAGGTATGAGTCAAATACAATCGATACTACATAATTATTTGGGTGTGAAAAAGCTGTGCTCTCGGTGGATCCCATACAATTTGACTGGGGCTCAAAAAAAGGATCGCGTCACATGGTGCACTGACTGCTTACCAGATTCAACGAAGGGGCGTCAAATTTGGTGTTGGACATAGGTAGTAACAGGTGACGAAACATGGATTTATAGTTACGATCCCAAAACAAAGCAGCAATCGAGCGTATGGATCTTTCGAGATGAGCCGAAACCAACCAAAGTGGCGCGCGTGCAAAGTGCGGTTGATTGCTTCCTTTTTTTAATAAAACGTGGCTACTGTTGCTTTGGAGAATCTTGTACTGCGAATAGTGATTAGTACATGATCATTTGTTTGCCGGAAGTTATTGACAAACTGCGTAAAAATAACCGTAAACGCCGTATCATCTTGCACCACGATAATGCCAGTTCTCACACGACCAGACAGACAAATTAATTTTTGAACCCTATGAGCCATCTCGCGTACAATCTCGACCTGGCACCTTGTGACTTTTATTTATTTTCAAGAATTAAGAACCAGTTACGCGGTCAACGATTTTCATCACCTGAAGAGGCTGTCGAAGAGTATGAAAAATATGTTTCAGAGATTGTCACGGAGGAGTGGCATAAATGTTTTCAAAATTGGTTCATTCGTATGAAAAAGTGCATTAACGCTAACGGAGAATATTTTGAGAAACAATAAATTCATTTCTGACCATTTATAGTATTTATTTCTTATTCATTCCGGAATAGTGCGCCCTACGTACAATACACTCCGCAGACTCTTAGACTTTTATTTTAGCCTTCTTAAGAGGGATCATGCCAAAAAAGTTTTGACATTGGCTCCGCCCAAATTTGTGAAACAAATATATGCCTGAAGTTCGCGTGACATGCGACAGGAGATGTTGAATTTTGCGCATTAAAAGTACCAAATTCGTTTTAGCGGAATAACTCTAAAACTAAAGGGATTAAAAAAATCCGTAGTGACAGTTGTCGATCATGCATAAATATAATTAATTATCTAATTTTTGTCCTAATAACCTGTAGCATTTCGAGGATGAATCGAAAAAATGTGAAAATTAGAAATCATTTCGTGATTTTTATCTATCGAGGAAACTTTATTGTTTTATGTTTCTGATTAGTGTCTATGCTTGAATATATCGTGTAATTACCCATACAATATTTTATTTTTAACTTTAAAGTGGATATACCCCTCTAAAATCAAATCGAAGATTAGGAATTTAAAACTTAAATTCCTAATCTTTATTTAGAATTTAGAACTTAAAGTAAATGCTATCGTGTAATGAATTTGCACATTTATTAGACAATATCCTTTAGTGTCGTATATTTTTTATAACTTCGTTATTTAATAGTAAATACATAAACCATTTGTTCTAGCATACACAATTTTTCCCGCTATTCTTCCGGTAATTCGCCCTAATTATTTAGTTTTTATTGCCTCGCATTATTTGAGAAAATCACTGTATACGTTGGCCAGCCCGAATTCGAAACAATTGACGGGTGTCGTCAATTGTTTCACTTCAAATCGACCATTTTAACTAAAGCTTTGCTATAATGGACGAAAATTGCAAAATTACATATTTAATATTTAATTACCGATGAAGTGCGATTCTGTTTGTTTTGTAATTAGATGTTTTGATGTCCCACACCACCGAATGGAACAGCCCATAGTTAGAGATATTATCTTTATTACAATAAATACAGAATATTTTTGGAATATACGGAGACGTATACACAGGTCAATTGTTGGCGCTGTACCATTTTTAGTACCAGTTTTCTAATTTTGTAATTTCAGTGCAAACTATTTCGTCTTTCTTATTTTGTATTTCGTCTCTATTTCTGGTTATATACTCGATGTATAAATCCGCTCACGCGATACGTACAGCCGTAGACGCATACCACATCTAGAGGTGCCGGTGATGATTTTATACCGATTTATCGGATATCGAAGTTATAACAGGTAAAAGTACTAATATTAATTGCTATTTCGGTAACGACTCTAGCAAACCATAAAGTTTTTAATGCCTGGGTCTGTCATTTAAAAAAAATAAACAACTTTAAAAATACGTCACGACAATTGTGTATGTTATTGTTTGGGCTGGTGATTTCGGTGTTTATTTATTGAAAACATACCGTAAGTAGCGTTTTTTAAGTTTACCCTGAATATAAATGTTTATAAACTATACTTTAAGGAGTAATTTCATGGTAAACGTTAGAACCACTCAAACGGAATATTATCATATTCATCCAAGCACACCAAAAATTTCATTAGTGCTTTTTAAGTGCAGGATTTGCGGTGTGTTACTGCATTTTATTTGCGGTGTTTTTGTTGGTAGTACGGAGGGTATTTATTTAGTAATACAGAATAATAATTTTTATTTATAAAAACTTGTATTAAAACTTGTATTTGCGAAACCAAATAGCCGCCATTTTGCGGTAAGAGGAGCGCATCGCGTGAGCGGTTATGAGCAATACAAAGCCGAACCAAGAGTCGATCAACTTATCTAATTCTGGTATAAAACTGGTCACTTACGGAGTACCAACTTTGAGCACATCTCCAACGACGCAATGTCCAGCCGTGAGTGCATATCGATTGCTGATGAGAACTCCTCCGCAAAGAAGCTTGACTTTGTTGTTCTTCGAGTACTCGATGAGGGCCAACCAGGGATATTCGTCTATGTTTGTTACGTTGCCGCCTGAAATGTACAAAGTCTTACTGTACTGCAAAATTGAGACTTATAATGGTTGATTCAGGTAAATTTTAACAAAGCATAAAACTATATCGCGCCTTTAGAAGTATAGTGACCTAACTAAAATAAAACTAATTTTTGGAAAACGTTGATTAAAGCTTGACATGTCCATCAATTTTGTAAAAAAAGGATAATATTGAGCGGTATATAAAAATAATTATAAAAGAAAATATTTTATGTTGTACTTGACTTATTTATCTACACTCTCCTGAATATAGACAATTTAAAAAGTGATAATTACTATTTTAATTTTAATTTTTTTGAATAATGCAAATTTGGGTCTATGTTCGTTTGAAACTATGTTCATTTTTAATAGACTTATTAATATTTAGGTCAGTCTATTCCTGAATATTGGTGAAACGAAACTATTTCTAAATAGGTCACCATGTTAGTAAATATGAGATCGTTTCAAGTTACACTTTTGCATTTTAGGGTATAAGGAAAACATCATAACACATTGAACAATTTTTATTAGATAATTAAACCAAGTCATACCAAGCTTGTTAGGGCCAGTAATAACAAGGCCGCGGAGCGGGTGCGCGAGGACGCGGCGGACGCGCACCCTCTCCGGCGCAGACGTACGGGGAGAAGGCGAAGGCAGTTCGCTGCTCGCCTGATCCCCTAGTGAGACCAGCGGGCTCTGGACAGGGACTCCGGAGCCTGCATTGCACGGCCTCACTCGTCTGGGGGGCGGGTCGGAGGACAACCGACTCGCCCCTCCGTTGGCGCGGGAGCCCTGGCATAAGCTAGGGCGGCCGGGCGGCGTCGTGGTGAATGCTCACTGATCCCACGGCGCCGACTCAACCGGCGAGAGGGAAACCCGGGGGGGTTTTAGTGGGGTAGGCCCTCCAGTCTGGAGGGAGAGTCCCCACATAACCCCTGAGTCTCCCTGGGCTCAGGGGTATCCATAAAGATTTCCCCCCGCCAAAAAAAAAAAAAAAAAAAAAAAAAAAAAAGGGCCAGTAATAACACAGATGTTGAAAAAATAAAAGTACAATACGTTCCTAATGCTTATTAGAAATTACTGTACTTTTTTGGTTTAAATGATTAAAACGTAACAGTATTTACGATAATCGTATGCTTTGAAAAAGGTAATGCTTAAATTATAAGCATTGAATTATAAAAATATGCATAATAACTAGGAATTACGTTTTTAATAATGAGATCGCGTAAGTCTTTTTTACGTTCATCTGGTTTGAGCATTATGTTACGTTCTTTTAAGTACTAAAATAAGCATAAACTTTGAATAACTTAGTAATTAAAGTGTAGAATTGTACAAATCTGCCCGTTAACAAGTGTAAATCTTTTTATTTATGTTCATTTCTTTACGTTGTTTCTTCTGGTCTAAGCACTTTATTCTTTCGTTTGTTTTTTATATTAACCTTAAGAGGGAGCAGAGGAAAAATTCCTAATCTTCGATTTGATTTTAGAGGGGTATATCCACTTTAAAGTTAAAAATAAAATATTGTATGAGTAACTACACGATATATTCAAGCATAGACATTAATCAGAAACATAAAACAATAAAGTTTCCTCGATAGATAAAAATCACGAAGTGACCTCTAAATTTCACATTTTTTCGATTTATCCTCGAAATGCTACAGGTTATTAGGACAAAAATTACATAATTAATTATATTTATGCGTGATCGATAACTGTCACTACGGATTTTTTTAATCCCTTTAGTTTTAGAGTTATTCTGCTGAAACGAATTTGGTACTTTTAATGCGCAAAATTCAACATCTCCTGTCGCATGTCACGCGAACTTTCACAAATAGATATTTGTTTCACAAATTTGGGCGGAGCCAACGCCAAAACTTTTTTGGCAGGCTCCCTCTTGATGAACTCACTTTGATTCTATGAAGTTTTCATGAATTGTTATGGTAGGTTATTAACTTTTCTTTAAGTAATGTATAATAATTGTTATTACATTTTAACTATCATACACATTTCCTGAGCCTTGTATTACTTACTAGGATTACACACATTACCGTTAACATATAAATATGTGTTACTATAATGCACAATTTTTTTCTCATTTAGTTTATCTTTACGAATATCAATTATAATTTACAACAATTTAAATTTTCACAATAACACCGCAGCGAATATACCATCTCCTGGGGAAAATCCAAAAAAGGAGTTAAGTGATCGGATCTCAGCTTTTTTAAATATGTTATTAATTAATAAAATATAATCATTATAATTACTATCATTACTATGACAATTTTACTTTGGTACTTTAATTAAACCTACATACTATTACCTCGTATACTTTTTTACTTCATTAAACTTACTTTTATAACCGCAAAACTATTTTCTATATCAGGAATGTTCTGAAAGTTTCTTTCAGAATATTAAATTGAAACTATAGAAAATAGTTTTTCTTCTTCAAGTAGAACATCATCAACATCCTCTTTCAGCAGGCCTTCATCAACATCTTATAACAAAACTTCTTGCGTAAGTAAGTCAAATGCCAATTCAGTCATAGATCTCTGTTTCAATATCACCCATAGACCAATATATTATTTCCTATTATTTCAAACAACGTATTTCTATCGGTGTCATTTATGTTTTCGTAACATTTGAGTCCATGTTCATAAGCATCTTTGATGGCACTTCTTTGTTAGTTGTACAAGAAACACAGCTTTTCCAGAATTTCTAAGACGTTTTGCTGTTTTGTTTCTATTTTGATGGATCTCTAGTAATTTTTCTGGATTGTCTGTTAGTGAATTAGCTGAACTATTGGAATTGGATACTTCCATATTCAAAGCAATTCGAAGAAGGCGAAGAACGGGCGTTGGAGCTTGATGAACGTTTAGTCTTTCAAGAATAGATCTACCGACTATACGTTGGGTCTGAGTCACTTAAATCTACATCACTTTCATTTCAATTAATAGGTCACTGATGGTAATCATCTGTAGCTTACAAGTCAAGCACTTGTTAACTTACATGTTGAAGGTCCATCTATGATAAAATGGGCATTTGACTTATTTACGCAAGAAGTATTGCCAGAAGATGTTGATGATGATCTGCTGGAAGATGATGTTAATTATGATCTACTTGAAGAAGAATAACTATTTTCTATATCAGGAGTATTTTGAAAGTTAGTTTAGTACGGGTAGATTAGATAGGTAGATACGAGGCTAGATTTGAAATAAGGTACCAAGGTGAAATTGTCATAGTAATTATAATGATTATAAATAATAAAGCATTTAAAAAAAATGTGAACGCTTACTTTCTTTTCTGGATGTTCCCCCGGAGATGGTATATTCACTTCATGGGTGTTACTATGAAAATTTAAATTGTTATAAATTATAATATTCGTATTCGAAAAATAAGCTAAATGAGTAAATTAGCACATTATAGTAACATTCAAATAACCTACCATAACAAAAATATCACTATCAGATTTTTATTGAGTATTTCATGCCTTCAGTGCTCTATTATTAGTAAACACATTTCCCTGGAAACAAAAAAAAGCGATTATTAGATTATTGTACAAAAAAATATGCTAGTAAATAAAATTTTACAAAATGTAGTCTTACCTGATGTTTAAGTTTTTCTAAAATAAAATTTGCTCTTCTCCTCATTCCGTTAGTTGCCTTAAATCGGAAAGACAGCTAGAAATAGCGTATTTTGTAATTGAAATGTACACGAAAATGGCACGTATATCAATGTAACAAAACTATTTCATTTCCAGATAGACCCATGGTTAAAATAACCACTAGGACTATAAACCATATTTAATACAAGACGGACATAATCATAAGATTCTTCATTAACGTTAGTTTCGTTAAGACATAGACCCAACTATGTTGCGTCTTTAAAGCAATACAATTTTTTAGCCAAAGATTGACTTAATGACAAATAAGTCCCATCGGCGTGAGTAAATTTTAATACAAGCTAAACTCAATACAAAGTAAGTATTCACTTTATTAAAAATAGTAACATCAACATACCTTCATTTTTTGTTTTATACCGGTTTAATTCGGTATAGGTCGTTACAGTAACGAAGACGTAACACCCTGGTCATTACACTCGCGGCACATCGCTGGTTGCGTCTCTCTCAAACTGAACGGACGTAAGGAAATGGGAAGGAGTAAAAGAGACCGCAGTCTAGGTTTTTGCCTTTTCGCGCGAAATTAGGTCTCTGTTTTATTAACAGTCGACGAACATAGTCACCCAAAGTCATTTTATGACTAAAAGACAATATTAAAATTTTGCATTAGGTCACTGTAATTCTAAAGGTGAGATATGTTTCTATGACAGTATAGTAATTTGTGTGTAAGTAGGTTTGATTAGAGAACAAAGAATTTGTACCTAGTACACTTACGTAAGTCTGTTAATAGAGGTTAATGTCCTTGCTTGTACTTCGTAAAAATTTAAAAGAGGAAACAATTTTTCAGCAATTGGTTCTGTACGTGAGAGGAAATAAACTTTCTAAATTGATTGTATAAAAATCGGTTTTTGATGGACACTTCGTAATAAAAGCGATGTGTCGACGGTATTTGTTTGTTAAGAGTACATAACCAGAAGTAGAGACGAAATAAGGGCCATACATTCCTGGTAACTGATCACTGATACATCACTTATAAATATCAACTCTCGTTTGCACTGAATTATAGACAGCGCCAACAACTGACCTGTGAGTACGTCTCCGTATATTCCAAAGATATTCTGTACTTATTGTAATAAAGATAATATCTCTAACAACGACGTGCTGTTCCATTCGGTGGTGTGAGGAAAACCAGCAAAACATCTAATTACAGAACAAACGGAATCAAATTTTATTCGTAATTAAATATGTAATTTTGCAATTTTCGTCCATTACAGCAAAGCTCAAGTTAACTGGTCGATTTGAAGTGAAATTATTGACGACACCCGTCAATTGTTTCGAATTCGGGCTAGCCAATCGGAGCGCAGTTGTCACAGTAATGATATGGCAAAATAGTTTTCAAACAAATTAAATTACACATCGTCTCTATTTCTGGTTATATACTCGATGGTCGACGTTATATGTTTGTTAAATAGTAATTAATCGTTAAAAGGAGTCATGTCGATGTTTCACGATACTACTATAATAAATCCACAATATATTTTTCTACACTGGTTTTCTGATTGAATAAAGTAATTATGGTGGAAATACATGAGAATGAAGGAATACGTACCAATAATCCGGTCTCCCCATTTACCCTGTTTCCCACAACACCCTGAAGCCGGGTCAGGAGGCGCAGTACTTGATTGGTCTTTACAGTTAGAAATAGGTTTAGGTGTCGAATTTGGCGGTGGACCGCAACACACGCTATAGCGATCAGCGCCTTGACATCTGGAAATTTTAAGATTTTTATGTAAACTTTAAACTGTAAATCTGGACGAAGAAAATTCGCAATTACTCTAATTAAAATTGGACTTTGAGGTCGCATTGTTTTTATCCCAGTTAATAAGTACCATTTAACTAACAAATATAACTGCCTCCGTGGTTGAACGGTTACCATGCCGGACTGCCACGCAGAGGTCCCAGGTTCGATATTTGTGTGGCCTACATTTATTTATCTCGTGAGTTTGGGTGTAATTTGTGGTTGTCTATATGTGTGTCCATGGCACCCGCGACACAGGGTTTCCCTAGTGCGGGGCTATGTTGAGTGTGTGTGTTATTATTATTATTATTTCCGTTTTTCTCATTTTGTTGTTCGGGAGTTTAGAGACTCAACTCAAGAGATCGTCTGGGGTACCTAAATGTCTAACATAAGTTTAACATAGAAACAGTTATCGCACCGGCAGACAAATTATATAGACATAGATGTACGTCACGGTACCACGATTTCGTTTAACTAAGGTAAACGACTCTTTTATGGGTAACTGTATACGTTTTTACAATAAGATTCCGGAGCATATATTAAGATTACCATTTCCTAAGTTTAAAAGCTACATTAAAAATATTTTGATCGAAAAATCATATTACAAAATTGAAGACTACGTGTTAGATAAAGATGTATGGAAAGACGACACGGCTCCAGAAACCACACAAATTTGATTCAAAGTGTATAAGCATTTAAGTTTATTTGAAAAGAGTAATCCCTAGAGTTTTTTGCTCGTTCTTCTCAGGGAAGTCAGCGTAGTGAACGAGCAGTAGCTTAATGTAATGTAATGTAAATGTGACGTTTTCAAGTGTAAATTTATTTTACCTATGGAATAAATGATCTTTGACTTTGACTTTGAATTTGACCATTGATGGAGAAAACATAATTCTCCACACTTAAGAGTGAATACAACCTCGGCTTGTATTCAAATTTTTACCGTAAGGTGAATCGGTTCTATTGCGCGGGTCGAGCGGCAGGTCACAAAGTCGAAATTTCTTTTGTCCGAAATAACGTTTCTTTGAATTTTCATGACACCAAAAACCGAATTACTCGTATAACGAAACAATTGTTCTTTGAGGATATGTTGAATGTTTACCGCAAAGACACGATTAGGTTCGGTTAGATTAGGTTAAGTTGGATTTAAATGAAAAAACATTTTCCTCTCATAATTACTTTCGAGGTTATGAATTTCGACCAAACGTTATTACTGGAAAATGACATTTCGGACTAGTGATAGGTAACTAGAATTTATTTTTTTACAAACGAAATTAAAGCTATTTCAAAAACGTGTATCGTAACATGCTGTTCTATTTAGTTCAGTAGATGTAAAAAAATCATTGGTATACGTAAAATACCTATTGAATTCTTGTAACATTTCGAGGTAATATTTTTTAATTTTTAGGAATCGTGTTTTCTAATTTTATGTTAATTAATCAGTGTTTCTCAATTTTACTATACTTTTTCCAGAGTGTTTGATTCAACACTTTCATTGTTATGCGGTATCAACCAAAGGCATCATTAATTTGTACGCACTGCCATATTTCTCGAAATACTACAAGTGTTTATATATAAAAAAAGTAAATAAATCAGATCGGGATTATTGCAGCTTTGGGAATAAATCTAATTTGTCCATCATGATAGCAAACTATCTCTGGACATTAAATTAATACGACGTGCTCCTTAGAATATTAACAGTTTAAATGGAATTACAAAAGTCTAAACAGTACCAGTATGTACCCTATTTAATACAATATAGTGCTGACCGTGAAACGTATCGTATCGATTTCGGCCGATTTTTAACCGACTTTAAAAAAGGAGGACATTAATTTGTGTTGGTGCTTTGTATTTGACGCTGCTTTTACCTTGAATTCTGGACGAAAGTAATAGATTCCTGAGAGATGGGAGGTTTCAAGTAATTCAAAAGGCTTTGACAGGAGTAGAGGCCCACGCACTGGCCCTGCTGGAAGTCTGGCGTTAGGCACGATGTAGATTGTTCGGCTACTGGACAGCATACCTGGAAATTAAAACGTAGGTTTAGGAGTGACCCCTCGTAGAGGTGATTCCTTTTTTGTTGGAAAGAGGGTGCCTCAGTAGAACGGTACTGCATTTAAATTTGAAGAAAACATTCCACCTCCAAGTCTGGCAAACAATCCGGTAACAGATTTCAATAAAACTTGGCAAATAGATATCCACGAACTTTTGAGGTCGGTTTTTTTAAAATTAAATGTTACTGTTTGCAGCTTTGTTGATTGCAGTCAACCAAACCAAACCATTGTATGCTGGTGTTATGTTTATGTAGTAACACTTTTTGACGCCGGTTTTTTTTTACAAGCGCTAATTGTCGGACGGTGGGTTCCATTTCTTTTTTAAGTTTATCTGGTCTAATAAAGAAAGACTCGACCATGACTCTCTGTTTTACTTTTCAACTGTAATACATTAAGTCTTCGAGATACCTAGGTCTAGGTATCTTTTGCTATCAATACTGTGATCCAGATTAAAAAAAAAAGACATTTTAGTTTTTTCGTGGGAGTTCACTTACCTTTGGTATATTTCCTTCAAACCCGCAACTAGATTGTCTCAAGTTGGCAATTTCTTTTTTTGATTTATTAGGCTTATTCACGATAGTTAAGAGTTCGTTGCAGTCGTACAGAGAGATGCATTTACCGGGACCCCCAGACGGAGTCGTGCATGGTGATTCTAGAATGAATGGTAAAATTAGATTTACTTAGAAAACTAAATTTGCACTGCAAGCCTTCAGTGTTTAAATAAATCAGGTCCGTTCGTTATTCCCCCGGTGTCCTTTGCCCCCGTTTTGTTTGCATTCGAATCTGGTTAGTTAGAATAAATGCAATTCAAATCAATTTTCAATTAAATGTACTCTGGTATTGAGTTCTTAGGTTTTCGCGATTGTTACACATAGGAAATGAAACTATTATTCTTCATCTGGTATTGAGTTCTTAGGTTTTCGCGATTGTTACACATAGGAAATGAAACTATTTTTCCGGATTTAAATCGCGTATATTTCTTTTTTCAAACAAACCGACGTTTCGGGCCCTTTACAGGTCCCATGGTCACGGTTGACTGAGGTGGTATAGTCTTACGCGATTAAATGTGATGCGATGCGATCTCAGCGATTTAAATCCGGAAAAATAGTTTCATTTCCTATGTAATCTGGAAGACAAAAAATGCTGTTACTAAAATAACAAAATTTTTATATGTACCTACTATTATAGATCGAGTTGTATAATTTTATTTGTTACGTACGTACGCACACAGTAGGTATATTTATATTTTTTTTATTATATTTAAGTACTTTTGCGATCTATAATATAAACACTACGTACAAAGAACACATACACAAATATTTAACCAGTTTATTTTATTTTGCAATACACACGTCTGTCACTCATCTCAGCTCAGGGCTCATTGAAAACCAGCGCCACAGTCAAATATGGCTGTGGGTGTGTGCTTATTGAAGTCCTTTTGCGTACGCCACAATGACACACACATGACAGTACAACATTTGCAGTCGTTATATTTAGTTTTTTTTGCTTTTTGTTTCTTTTGTCTTATTTTATTTTATTTTTTATTATTATTTTTTTAATATTTTAATTTTGTTAATTACGTCTTTTTATTTTATTTTGCTTGTCTAAGTGCTATCAATATATTTTTTAAGTATCTATGTGTTGTGGCGTTGCAATAAATGTTTATTCCATTTTATTATTAAACTCTATAAAAATAATTGGAAATAACATGCACTTAATGTAAGGTTTGTTATATACTTGATGAGACAAGTACAAGTCACAATTATTTTTATAATTTATTTATCATTTCGAGTTCTTAGGTTTTCGCGATTGTTACACATAGGAAATGAAACTATTTTTCCGGATTTAAATCGCGTATATTTGTTTTTTCAGTTAACCGTGACCATGGGACCTGTAAAGGGCCCGAAACGTCGGTTTGTTTGGAAAAACCAGTATACGCGATTTAAATCCGCAAAAGTAGTTTCATTTCTTATTTATAATTTTTAAGCGACTTCAAAAAAAGGAGGAGGTTTTCAATTCGACTGTTTTTTTTGTATGTATGTTACCTCCATTGTGATCCCATTTAATTTTAAAGAAAATCTTCCACCTCTAAGGGCGGCTGTTCACGCGTGAAGATTCATTTTTATAAATAGCGCCTAAATTTTTAAAATTGTTGTTTTTGCTATTCTCCAATTCAAGGCGTTTTTCTCTCTCAATATACTTTGAGTAGTGAGAACCAATTTTTATTATCTCTTGTGTCAAGATCCGGATAGTGGCGAACTAGGGGATGAATCCGGGTTTGCTCACTTTCCGGCAACCGATTTCAATAAAACTTGGCAAATAGATGTAATGTCAACTACTTTTGAAGTCGGTTTTTAGTACTTTGTACTGAGATTATTAATATTCAATTCGGCTATTATAAATAACAATTCAAACAAAATTGTCTAAGTATAGGTAATTAAGACATAATTGTATCATACATACGTAAATTAATAAGTTTTGAAACAAACAGCCTCCGTGGCCAAACGGTTACCGTGCCGGACTGCCACGTAGAGGTCCCAGGTTCAATTCCCGGGCCGGGAGAAATATTTGTATGGCCTACATTTATTTCTCTCATGAGTTTGGGTGTAATTTGTGATTGTCTATGTGTGTGTCCATTGCACCCGCGACACAGGTTCTCCCTAAAGCGGTGCTATGTTGAGTGTGTGCGTGATTATTATTATTATTAAGTAATCCTTAATTTTTAGTAGAGTAGTTAACAGAACTTAATGCGATTGAACTCGTATCTGACAAAAAAATATTGATATAGAATTTATTTCAATCGGGGCAAACAAAAAAGGGTCAAAAGAAACCGGGGGCGTAACGAACGGACCTAACAAATCAGGCCATTTATTGATAAAAAAAATACTCTATCACATTTTGTTTTTGCATACAAAAGTATGTCTTCTAAAACATGGTTCTAAGTAGATTTTTAACAAATGTTTTGATGTGTTTGAACCAATGACCTTTTTACGCATATAAAACAATCTACCAATGATTTAAGATCTTTGGTTTGAGCCATAGATTTAGTATAGGTATATACTGAATCTATGCTTTAAACATTCCAAATATTGACGTGAAGTTATAAAAGTGGTTTGTAATTTTGTTTTCATTTTTATGACACCAAGTGACGGGATGAATAAGTCGGGTAATATCACTTAATATTATGTTTACTTTCAAACATGGCACCTATAATATATGTATATAAAAAATAGTAGATTGCACAACAAGTGCATCACATGCGCCATTTTACCCGAGATGTGTATATCCACAAATACAGATAGATACAGATATTAAACAGCAACATTGCAAATAAATAAATGTTTATTTTTTCTTTTATTTTCTTAGGAGCCAGTGATAATAATATTCCGATTGTTATTCAAAATTTTCCGTTATCGAGATTTAAGGGTCATTTTCAGGTAAGTTTATTGTACTCAATTTTGACGACAATTTCTTTTTATTTAAATACTTATAGAATATCATCATAAAGTATTTTTAATATTCGAGTGTGATAACCGTAAATATTCTTTAATATTTCACGATGATATTCGAGTAATTAAATAATAAAAATTGTCACCAAAATTGGGTACAAAAACTTACCTGAAAATTACTGTTTAAAAAGTAACCTCTTCCCAAAGCCTAAATTAAAAAAATAGCTACATTTAATAATTTAAATATAAAATTAATAATAACCGTCACTGCATGTAATCATCAAACATTACTTGAGTTACTTTCAATTTTACTCATACTACGGATTTTAACTTTGTAATGTGCGCCAGAGGCCGTGAGTTATTCCTTCGTACTGCATCACATTTTATTGTTTAATTTAATAGTACAGTAGCTTTCACTTACAATTATCTTTAATTAGTAAATTACCCAACACTGACAATATATATTGACATAATAATACTGTAGTCATATGTTGCAATTTAAGCAATTTCAATATCATTTTGAGTTGGTGATTACCTAATTCGCCCTTAGATGCCACTGCTAGTAAAAATAGTTTGTTGTTACGTTTGTTTTCCTTATACTGACCCACTGGTCAGTATAAGGAAATCCGAAACATTAGTAGATAACAATACACTCAATTTCTTATAAGTATCAATTTCATTGTGTGGGAAGAAAAAATCGGGACTGCAGAAGTTGGTCAAATTTAATTTGAAAAAATTACTATTCCATTAGAAGGGACACTCCGTATATACTGTGCATTTTTATAGGAATAAAACGTATTGCCGCTGCAAAACTCAACGGACCTCGCCGTTGTGTTTTGCAGTGGCACGGCCATTTCTGTTGCGCCTTAACACTTTTGTTTTCTTAAAAACGATCACCGCTATTACAATGGTCACGCCTTGAAAATGTAATCTCACTACAACATGCAAGAAACTTTTGTGAAATCAGATAATAAGATTCAGGAAGAAAATCGTATTTTGTTGAAGTAATTTGTGTTTCATGTTACTTAATTCAAATGAAAATGTTGTGAACCTATTAAGCTAATGAGTTTTATCTTTACTGTAGTTGTCGTTGTATTTAAATGACCGCGTAAGTACGAGTTAACGATATTTTAAGTGAGTGTAATTTCATAAAACTCTAATTTGTATTATACGGACGTAGACGTTACTAATACGTTTGTGGTTTTTTTTGGTAGATAATTTCTGTGCTATCTATAAACAAGTATATCCTATGTACGAACATCTATGTTTTCTTTATCGATTTTAATGCTTTCGGGTTGTTTGCTGGACAATTATTACACATTAACAAAAAGTATAACGTAACTATCTTTAACATGCCTATCAATGCAAGTTAAAAAGAAAATGTTTACCACTTA